TCCTGGTTGTGTGACCACGTCCCTGACTCCTCACGTCACGCAGCGCCGTCCAGACGGACGCCCAACCCCTGGCTGTTTGACCACATCCCTGACTCCTCACGTCACGCAGCACCGTCCAGTCCAACTCCTGGTTGTGTGACCACATCCCTGACACCTCACGTCACGCAGCAGGGTACATCTCGTGATGCAGCTCGCAGCGAACAACAACCAAGCTCATTTTGCGATCCTGCCAACTGCCACTAGGGGATCAAACATTTACCCGGCTGGGAGCCCTTTCCAACACTAGTTTTCTCTGGCCGAGAATAGCCGTCACGCTCCACAGCACGCGGCTGCTATTGGAAACTCCTGGTCACAGCTGGAACAGGCACATGCAGGGCCGCGGCCGGCGTCAGATAGCGTCAGCCTATAGGTGGCATCAGGGAACTTCCACAGCCAGTCGCCAACTCGCCACTGAGGCAAGCACACTGCCTTCGCGACGCTGCGGCGTCCACACCTCCTCGCCGTTTGCATTTGAGAAGCACAGACGCTGACGCGCACCAGGTAAATCGACGCTCGGCTCCCACGCCCGACGTTCGACGAGGAACGCGTCACACTTTACACTAGAAATTCCCTCGGCATTAGCAGCGGTTCTATCGCAGCTAAGACCGTTAATAATTTCCACGATTCGGTGCAAATGAATGGAATGTATATAAAATAATGAATTCGATGCACCGAAAACAAGACAGATGCTTGGGTGACAGTTTTGCGATTTCGCAATGTGAGACATCGAGGAGCCTATTAAAGTCGTGGCCAATACAAACACAGCCTATACCCTAACGTCCTGATGGAAGAGGTAAACGTCAATTTGTCCCGTGTTCTATATTTATCCGCTGCGAAATCTGGCCACCTCTGATCAACACCTACTGACCTTTGACCAAGCAGCGGCGGCCGCCTAGCCTGACCTCTCGCCGACCACCCGTGTCCGGGCCAGCCCAGAACAGCGGCGCACTCACAGCCCTGCGCTGCAGATGCTTACGGGCTCCCTTCAAAGCCATGACACTCCTAGGAACTGACCAGACGTTGCACCTTCATGCCGTTCTGAAAACACAATTACTTTGAAGAGTGCTTATTGGTCTGAACTTTGGAAGAAGTGGCATTAGGCCGAGCGTGCGAGTCTTGCGTCACAACAGACCTTAGGCGCATACTGTGAATTAGGTCTTAGGGTCTCCTCGCCATGCAAGTCGGCCGCACGTTCCAAAGCCTTTCGAACTTGTTTCCAAGTGCCAAATTTATACCTGTAGCAAGTTTTTAATACTTATAACGGAGGTGCTTCAGACTGATAACAGAGACCCCTGCCGACCGTAAGATTTTGTATCTTCATCAAAGGTGGACGTTCGCATGAGTGCCGCCTAATCCAATCTACTTAGTGCCAGAACAAATTTGATTGTTGGGGCGCGATGGCACCGGCCTGTCTAGCCTCGGTGTTGACTGTCGCCGCTCGGTATGAGAGCCTCAGGGCTGGCATCAGCGCGGCGTTCGGGATCCGGGGCTCTCACAGTAGGCCAGCAGGTCAGGTCACACTACACGGCGCTGCAAGCCGGGGCCTAAGCCGAGACAACAGCCGGGCAGACGTGGCTGGCGGCGGCCATGTTGAGCCGCACATGGGGCGCTCCTCTCCAGGGCCTAAGCCGAGACAACAGCCGGGCAGACACGGCTGGCCCCAACCGGCGGCCATGTTGAGCTGCACATGGGGCTCAACATGGCCGCCTCTCCTCTCCGCCCGTGCGGTGTTGTGATAATGATGCTGATAATGATGACGTGGGCGTCCTCCTCCCCCTCCCCTAGGTAATCTGAGGAGACAGGCAATGTCTTGGGGGCGTCTAGTTATTTCATGAACTATATTGATTTGATTTGGCACACTCAACAAAATCCAGTTAAATCTGCATGTTATCAGAAGCAAGCGGTGCAAGAAACATGCAAATAAAGATGTTTCACAAACGCGCGGATAAAGATTAAAGGTTGCCCTGAAATTTGCAGATACGAAAATCATGTACTCGAGAGCCCGGTTTCTGGCGATCTGAGGATAAAGATTGACAAAGTCTCACGGCGCCGTTTATGCCAAAATGGCTGCCAGTGGTACATAATGTGGCAGATCGTGTCGATTGGGCCCATCGCCAGACGTCGCCTGGAGCGACTTCCGACCGATGGGAGGACGACAGTCATTACCGCACAGGATGCCGCCCCGCGCCGCGCCGGGAATAGCTAATGACATCCTTTTAAGTTCTGTCGCTTCCAGAACGTCAAAATACTAATTAGTGCCACGCTTTCCAGCAGGTTTTGACACAAAAATGTCGACCCTGGTCGTCAGACATCGTAAACACGCACATAACTGGCGCCCGCTGTCGCGCTCACAAATTAAATCCACTGTGTTGTGGTTGTCTTGCATTTCCTTATTCAGTATAATGCCCAAATTCGTGTCGCCTTAGCGCGAATGATTTTAGACCATATCTTCCCAACCTGTCACACTCCATTTTCGTACGACTTCCATACCGCACCGTTCCACGTGGCTAAACCGTTCGCAGCTCCTCTTGTTCGAAAAACGGTTTCCCAGCAGTAAACAGACGGCTCTGAACTCTCACCCCGAATGATATAAGCAAACGATTCGATGTCATCAGCCGCGAACCGATCCTTTCTTTCCTAACGACGACTACAGTAGCCAGGCGGTTTCGTAACTCGCTGAGCGATGACGCCCACCAGATAACCACTATAAGCAACAGCTGTATATCCCCACCAAAAATTTGTCATCGCACTCATCCATCAGGTGTATACTGTTCAACGCCCGCGCACTTCGGCACACAGACGGGCTACTACGACCGGTAAACGGACTGGACATGTTCAGCGCTGAAGTCACCTAGGTGACCGTCACATCGCCAGGTAAACGGACTGAACATGTTCAGCGCCGTAGTCACCTAGGTGACCGTCACATCGCCAGGTAAACGGACTCGGCATGCTCATCGCTGTAGTCACCTAGGTGACCGTCACATCGCCAGGTAAACGGACTCGGCATGCTCATCGCTGTAGTCACTTAGGTGACCGTCACATCGCCAGGTAAACGGACTGGACATGTTCAGCGCCGTAATCACCTAGGTGACCGTCACATCGCCAGGTAAACGGACCCGACATGCTCAGGGCCATAGTCACCTAGGTGACCGTCACATCGCCAGGTAAACGGACTGGACAAGTTCAGCGCCGTAGTCACCTAGGTGACCGTCACATCGCCAGGTAAACGGACTGGACATGTTCAGGGCCGTAGTCACCTTGGTGACCGTCACATCGCCAGGTAAACGGACTCGGCATGCTCATCGCTGTAGTCACTTAGGTGACCGTCACATCGCCAGGTAAACGGACTGGACATGTTCAGCGCCGTAATCACCTAGGTGACCGTCACATCGCCAGGTAAACGGACTCGACATGCTCAGGGCCATAGTCACCTAGGTGACCGTCACATCGCCAGGTAAACGGACTGGACATGTTCAGCGCCGCAGTCACCTCGGCGACCGTCGCATCGCCAGGAAATGACCTCCACCAAGCCTCCAATCCATGAGATACGGTGAGCACCTGGCGACTGCTTATAACGTTACCAGACAGAAAAGTCTCCAACAAGGCTCATCTTGTTTGGAAGTTGCGAAAACAACAACCCATGCACCATTCCAAGCACGCAGCAAGGGGTTCGTTGACATGTCACACAACCAAGCACCACCTGGCATACGTAATCACTTGTTATTCGCCAGATCACCGGAGCGGAGCATTATACCTATATATATATATATATATATATATATATATATATATACCATATACCATTATATATACCTAGTCACGCAAGATACGTATACGGGATCATGATGAACACTGCAGCGTTCAGCTGCAAAACACCCTTCCACCGAGTGTCCTGCAGTAGAGATTACGCACCACGGACAGTATATATCAAACAATTAGACGATCATACAAAGCACAGTATATACACAAACGGTTGACATCATGCGGATATAATTCAAATGCTAACTAAAAACTATGGAAAGGTTTTTAACATTACCTTTAATGCTTCAGAATGTATCTTATAAAGTAGCTATATAAGTTTACATAGTCATACAACGTAATTCTAACCAATGTTGGCAGGCTTGTAGAGCCTAGCAGTCAATAGTTGCTATCATAGCTATAACACACACACACACACATACACACGCGCACCATGATGATAAAAAATAATAATGTGACACTGAGTGGAAAATACATTAAACATATGTATATCTCGAATAACTGTCGAAGCAGTTCAGTTGTCACTACACTGTTATTCTGCAAAGGCAGCAGATCGAGGTTCAGTCAAGTCCAGACCAACTTTGTCGAATATGGAAACACTCACTGAGATTCCAGTCTAGAGACTCTCATTGACGCTTCAGTCTGCAGACACTCACCAATTTCCCTGTCCGAGGGCACTCACCGACGTCCCGGTGTGAGAGTTCTCACCGGTGTCCTGGTCCGAGGGTGTTCACCGACGTCCCGGTCTGAGGGTTCTCACCGGTGTCCTGGTCCGAGGGTGTTCACCGACGTCCCGGTCTGAGAGTTCTCACCGGTGTCCTGGTCCAAGGGTGTTCACCGACGTCCCGGTCTGAGAGTTCTCACCGGTGTCCTGGTCCGAGGGTGTTAACCGACGTCCCGGTCTGAGAGTTCTCACCGGTGTCCTGGTCCGAGGGCACTCACCAATGTCCCGGTCTGAGAGTTCTCACCGGCGTCCTGGTCCGAGGGCACTCACCAATGTCCCGGTCTGAGAGTTCTCACCGGTGTCCTGGTCCGAGGGCACTCACCAATGTCCCGGTCTGAGAGTTCTCACCGGTGTCCTGGTCCGAGGGCACTCACCAATGTCCCGGTCTGAGAGTTCTCACCGGTGTCCTGGTCCGAGGGCACTCACCAATGTCCCGGTCTGAGAGTTCTCACCGGTGTCCTGGTCCGAGGGCACTCACCAATGTCCCAGTCGGCGGAGTGCTGCTGGCGCTCCCGGTCGGCCAGCACGTACCACACGCAGGCCAGCCAATGGGCAGCCAGCGAGAACAGCACGAGTAGCAGTGTCAGTATCATGCTGCTGTACTGGGTGTAGCGGTCGATCTTCTGCAGGAGTCGCACCAGCCGTAGCAAGCGCGTCAGCTTCAGCAGGTGGATCGGAGTCTCCTGCGGCCGACCGAAGCACAGGCTCAGAGCCCGGGACAGGTGCGGGGCAGAGGGGCGTGGGGAGGTGCGGGGAGAGGGATGGAGAGGGGAGGGGGAAGGAGAGGGGGGGGAGACAAAGGCGCATTCTATCTTGTGTTAACTACGCCATCCACAAGAAGATCCATTAGCGGGCTCAGTCTGCGCCTCATGAATAACTGAGTGACACATTTTCTGGAACTACCTACGCATGCAGCCTGAAGGAGCGTTATATATGCACAGTGCTAGGATGCCCCACGCTATCTTCCTGGTGTGCTCCATAAGCGAATGTGGTAAGTGACAAGTGCAGGATTACAGGAAAACTTTCTCTAGACTGCTGCTGGGATGTCTCTCGTTGGCTTCAGTTGAAATAACCGTTTCTATTCTATTTAGCTTCGCAGAAACTCGCACGAAATCGTTCCGAGTGTTTCTCGCGATATGCAAACGTGCAGTGCAACATTCACTCCCGGGTGTGACAAGAGCTGTCGATTACACGCACCCGCGCTATCAAAATCTCAGATGCCAACTGTGACAACGTTTCTGCATCGATGGTAACTAAAGGATCCCTACAGAGCTAGTGGCTGAGACAGCGCGCTTTCCGGCAAGTGAGATCTGGTGCTATTGGCTTTGGAAGAAGCCGGGGCTCTGCTCGTCCGATGGTTCGATCCCAAAGTAAACATCGGAACGAGTGGATGGAATCCCAGTGGGTTATCCCAGTAGCATCCAATACGAGAAGCTTTTGTGCCAGGAGCAGCCTCCAAGCATTTAGAGACAGCGTTCGACTCCTTGGGGAACCATGACACGCTATCAGCGAGCCACTGCCGGTAAGACGTTTTTGATACCTTACGAAAATCTCATGAGAACTGTGCACAGCAAATCTCATGAGAACTGTGCACAGTAAATCTCATGAGAACTGTGCACAGTAAATCGGCGCAACAAACGCCTTTGTAAGAATGAAATTCAAATAATCATTGAACTGAGTCCTCGGAAAGATATTTTACAGACAGATCACATAGTAAACCAAATTATGCACTTACATTCGTTAACGCTATTCAGGTGGTCAGATCCGACAATGCATTTTACCTACAACTATTTTGATGGAATATGCAGCAATATACCACGAGGTGACATTTCAAGTTAACAGTAGTACAAAGTACTGCGCGAGCTGCAAAAATGACAGTTACATATCGAGACGAGAGTAAGGCACATAACTGAATACCGGAGCGCATATAAAGTAACGCTGTTATAATGTGGTGGGCCCTTCGAATGCTATACACGCTACAATACTCAGCGATATGCAAACGAAAATTCTGAAGCTCTTCGCTTTCAGCACTCGGAGCTACGCTGAAAATAGCACTGCATGCAATCGGGACTTCCCTGCCGAACTGTCCGTGCCTAACTGTCAGGGCGTCAGCGCGATTTGAGCACATCTGTCTGCGAACGCTGCAGCTCTGTTCGGCGGCGGGTGGAGTCGGCGGTCAGCAGCGGCGGCTCTGACCCAGGCCGGCTGACTCCCGCTACAGCCGCATGCTTGTTCGAAGCTAGGGCTTCCGTCAACACCGCGCGTCGCACGAGTGCTGTTCCACGGACATCGAGATTACCTGGAGTGATTGACCTGGTGAAGCCAAAGCTTGCTGAAAGGGCTTATTTCCGGGGCTAAGTGAGGAAGATTCATGTCACTTTTGGTGACGCGTGGATTATTTCATAAGCATTGTTTTGTTGCATTTGCATGACACTTACAGAGCGGTTTATATTCGTGAAGACCTTTCCTGAAGCATTGCGTAGCATTGGCTACTTTTGCCAATGACAGCATGACGTAGCGGATGATAGCATAATAGCTAAAACATTTTCAAATTCTGGAGAACACGCGGTGACGCCAACAGCAATACAGAGCACTAGTACAGCCATGTTGGAAGCGTAACTTCCCGCTCGAAAGTCACAAACGCACCTGCAAGCACGGACCTCCTGCTACCAGCACCGCTGATAGTTCGGAATTTGAATTCAAGTGCCTTCTACGTTGTCCGTGCGTGAACTATCTACCCTGATTTGTGAGCGTGGTGAACTGATAGTGTACTGCTGAGTAAAAAAAACTTAATCACGTCGACAGCCATTCTGAAGAAATCTGACCATGACACTAGACTTGATCACTAGTGATAACTCTGCCCGTGGCTGAACCTCGGTCCGTGCATTACTGCACAGCGTGCCATAAATGTTGGAAAACATTGGACGGGAACGCTGCTAACATCAGCGGAAGCAAACAGGCAGCGCAAGCCACATGCGCCACAAATGTCACAAAATAAAGCCACAGCCACGGAATGAAAAAAAGGCTCGTATGTTGGAAAATGCTGCGATGAAATACAAGAACGTTACATAAATTAAAAGCCGGAACGGAGGCAACCACAAGTCGCAGCGCATTATTTGCAACTTTAAAACGTTAAGTGACTGATAAAAACTGTTCGATCGATGTTTGATTTCAGCTGCCACGCCAGCTTCAGGGGGGAGGTCACTGAAGGCAGATAGCTGTCAGAAGCACGTGAACGACACACAGACACATGCCAGGCGGGCGAGTCCAGGGCCGAGGTCAGCGTCACCCTATCAGCGGGTCAAAGGTCGTCGAGGAGTGCCCACCGTCACCCAGCTGGCAGGCCAAAGGTAGAAGAGAGTGGCCGCTGAGTGACTGTGGAGCGGCGCCGGTCCGACCTCACCCAGGCCGCCGGAGGCGAGGTGCACGGTCGCACGTCAAAGGTAGAAGAGAGTGGCCGCTGAGTGTCTGTGGAGCGGCGCCGGTCCGACTTCACCCAGGCCGCCGGAGGCGAGGTGCACGGACGCACGTCAAAGGTAGAAGAGCGTGGCCGCTGAGTGTCTCTGGAGCGGCGCCGGTCCGACCTCGTCCAGGCCGCCAGAGGCGAGGTGCACGGACGCACGTCAAAGGTAGAAGAGCGTGACCGCTGAGTGTCTCTGGAGCGGCGCCGGTCCGACCTCGTCCAGGCCGCCGGAGGCGAGGTGCACGGACGCGCGTCACACCAGGAGCACACCACACGTGTCTCACTGTAGCAGACGGGTGCCGACTGGCGACAGGCGGGTCCATGCAGCAAGACAGTCAAGGACTTCCAGGCGGGCGAGGCAGATGACATTCAGTGTCGAGGAATGGGGTGCGAGCGGGTTATCATACCCGGCGCAAACGTGCCTTTCTTGGTATGCAGATGGAGGTAACTACATCATCATTGGATGTCGATGTCATGCGAGTGGGCACTCATCTAAGCCAAGTGCTGTTTGAAACCAAAATCTGGGCAGAAATACGGCAATGACCAAGTCTCAGCAAGTTATGCAATGAGGCATCATGCCGCAAAAAGAGCATTCCGGAAGATACAAGACGGCCATTTATCACATTTTAGCGCAAAATAAAGGACATGTTTGGAAACATATTCTCTCTTGATGTTTCCGGAACACTTGGAAGATGGTTTCTGTACAATGCCTTTCGAATGTTTAGTTTATGTTAAACTACCTTTCTCCTTTAACTTGCTCAAGAAAAGTCCTGATATTTGTGTGTGTAAATACTGAAGCCATTGCACCATTTTGCTCTCCCATGGTGCATTATCTAGAGCCCAGGGCCCAGGCTGAAACTAAGCGCGCGTTAGGCATGGTTGCGTATGTGAAGGCACAAATGTCTACACTGACCCGCAATGGCGTGTGCCACTTGGCTCATTCGATCTCGAGGCACGCGTCTAAAGAATACCTCTCTCATCGAGGCAGGTCACATATGTCGGAAGCAAAGTTCTCTTGAGGCACAAACTTATTTTACAACCCAACCTGAAACCGAACTTCTTAAGAGCATCATCACTGTATGTCAATCGATAAATCTAAAAAAAGTAGGTATTCTTCACTGCGGCCTGATATTGGCTCATCGGGTGAGGATTTCAAATAGTCACTAAATATCACACTAAACAGGTGACCGTGTTTTGAAGATGGTACTGCATGATCTGGAACATGATTGTGACTTGTCAGATAATTTTCTTTCAAACAATAAATCAAGTTGTACAATTTAGGCCAGTGACAGTGATCTTAGCAAAACCCAAACCCAGCACTAAATGCAAGTCAGTTTCCTGGATGACTAGAGGGAAATGTCACACCGCAGGATCGGGATGTTCAAACGACTGAGTTTCCATATGTCGCCTTCAATTCAAATATTATCCATTGGTACTGCTCAAAGAAATACCACGGGAGCCAAATTTTGGATATTGGAACGTTATTGGGATGATAGCCACCGTGAAGAATGCAAAAGATGCAATTAGACATAATTTTGCGAATATGGCCTTTCTAAAGACCTGAAACGACGCAATTCGGCATACTTTTTTGAACATGACCGTCTGGTATCCTATGTTAGTTGGTTCGAAGTTCACTTGAAATCGGCAGACCATGCATTAAGTACCTCGTCTTTCAAGTTAAGAACCCGTCGGAGCTGAAAAAGAGGAAGATGGTCATGGAAGCAACACGGCCTTGCGTGCCGCATCAGCTGCTCACAAAACTAGGACATTCGCTTTTCGTCCAAAATTGGGCAAGTCAAAGACATCTTGTGCTGCGGAGGCGAAGAAAAAATACCTGACATCCACTTATTGTTCGAATTGCAATTTTTTCCTCCATTTATTGTTAACAAAAACACTGCACCGCGTCGGTCTAAGCATGAGCCATAATGCGATAACGCACCAAAACAGATTCCCCGGAACTGCGGTGCGCATGACTTTCAAATATCCGGATGGTTCTGGCGCTTCCAACTTGATAAAACGAATCCATTTAAAGTAAGGCCTACAGGTGATAGTTGCATGCTTTTTCCTAGGATTGACGCCTTCACTGCGGCAATGTATGCACGCGTGGCTTCGCTAACACTATACACCGCCATCATTTTGGCTGGTGCGAACAAATTAAGCGCACCCCTGTGCGTGATTCACGGAATTTATGTAATCAATATTTTTTATCCTATTGAGACCAGCAAACCAGTCTTATTTTCTACAGGTCATTATTTACCCTACGGATGGTCGCATATGGCCGAAAAAATAGATGAGAGCTTCGGTATTGAACAAAACAAAAGGATAACATTTTATTTATGCTTCTGTTTTGCAGTACCAATAATTTTGATGTGCTCGTGACGATGTACGGCAGGCCCAAACCCCCTGGACACATAATCATACCGGTTGTTGTCAGCTAATAGCAGGTATACCGCGAACGTGGTGAGTAAACTCCGCATTCAACCAAATAGTGAAAGCTTGCACACCCCATCGGATCTACGTCATCCGGTCTTCCACTAGTATTATTTCCGTCGGATCTACGTCATCCGGTCTTCCACTAGTATTACTTCCATCGGATCTACGTCATCCGGTCTTCCACTAGTATTACTTCCATCGGATCTACGTCAGCTGGTCTTCCACTAGTATTACTTCCATCGGATCTACGTCAGCTGGTCTTCCACTAGTATTACTTCCATCGGATCTACGTCAGCCGGTCTTCCACTAGTATTACTTCCATCGGATCTACGTCAGCTGGTCTTCCACTAGTATTATTTCCATCGGATCTACGTCAGCTGGTCTTCCACTAGTATCACTTTCATCGGATCTACGTCAGCTGGTCTTCCACTAGTATTATTTCCGTCGGATCTACGTCAGCTGGTCTTCCACTAGTATTATTTCCATCAGATCTACGTCAGCTGGTCTTCCACCAGTCTTATTTCCATCGGATCTACGTCAGCCGGTCTTCCGCCAGTCTTATTTCCATCGGATCTACGCCAGCCCGTCTTCCGCCAGTCTCATTCCCATCGGATCTACGTCAGCCGGTCTTCCACCAGTCTTATTTCCATCGGATCTACGTCAGCCGGTCTTCCACCAGTCTTATTTCCATCGGATCTACGTCAGCCGGTCTTCCACCAGTCTTATTTCCTTGCACTATGATATTTCCATCCCGTTAAGGTTAACAGGACCCCTGGGCGTTCCCAACGTGCGCACAGGACATGTGCAGGCGAAACAGGGCAAACCAATCAGCCCAGTGCCAGGCGTTTTCCCTGACCAATTCCCATGTGAAAAGCTGAAAACGTTTCAGGAGTGTTCCATACATTTTGCAGGAATGCTAACAATTTCAACTAGCTCTAAGCGCCACGTCAAGATGCAGATTTTGGTCAGTCATCTGCAGATTTTACCGCTTCAGAAACTCAAGAGGTTTTGGCGGCAAGAAAGGATAGTCTGATAGTTATCGAAACATGACGACTTAAGTACTTATGTGCATGAGCAGTGATACTTATGCATGCTTTACAAAATAGGAATGCTTATTTTTCCATTTCAACTTCAAAAAAGAAATGTTTGTCATCATACGCAGTACCCAGTATTACCTCAACTTAAAACTTGTCCGACAAAACTTGTGCCATTTTTCGACTTCATGTGGCGTCCAATATTGTATGCTAGCTGACAACGCTTCCGTCATTGTCAAGATACGACACACACGGGAGTCCACCACAACAAGCTACGAAGCTGGATAGCGCGTGCATCTAGTCTGCATAGTCTGTCCGAGACGTGGGCCGTCGCAGCATGCGGCCTCAGCGGTACGTTACCATAGAGGTTCCAACACCGGATATCGCGAACCCCAATGTTCATGTTGGAAAACAGCGCTCTGCTACGTGTCTGCCGCGAACGATTGATGATGCTCCCCAAAGGGCCCTCGCGCTCCTTCACTCTCGCCGGCGTCCGCCGCCGACGCGGCACCGGGCGTCACGAGCGGTGGCGGCCGTGATCTCGTCACCGGGCAGCTGGCCAGCGGCTCACCGAGCTGTAGACGTCCGCCGCGAACAGCAGGTCGAACGGCAGCGCCGCCAGCAGATCCACGATGAACCAGCCCTTTAGGTAGTTGGTGGCGATGTAGCGCGGGTTGGAGACCACCTCACCTTTCTTGTTCACGTACGTTGTGCGGAAGTTGAGGACGATGTCTGGAACAGAGCCAGGCACGGCTTGGGCAGTGCCTTCATCTAACACTGAGGCTAGCATCATCTAACCCGGCTGCATGCCAGGCTCGCAGAACATGACGAAGCACACATAGTTCGGAATGTCAGCTGTAGATCGAAGGCGACACAGCGTGACAGTATGACCCTTGGGCTTCAGACGGCTGGCAATGCAGCGGCAGCCGAGCAGCAGAACCAGTGTATTGCAATTCACGACTTTGGTGGAACATAGCACATTTTCCTGTTTATCAATCCTGAATTCGTTCGTTCATACCTAGATCAAATTTTCCAACCATGTTGTTATTTTTCGGTGCTTTTGAGAGGACAATTTACTGCCCAGATCGCCTTTTGCTGGGACAGTTTTGACACCCTAAGCTGGCCGGTCGGCCGGGCCCACACACTGTGGCAGCTCGTACCCGGTGCACCAGGGCTCCAAGGGCTCCGGACGGGAACCTCGGCACTGCTGCCTTCGGCAGGCCGCAGGGAGTACCCGCTCCTGGAGAGCGCCACCGCTGCCTCCTGGCGCACGCCCCTAGGGCACGGCACCGCTGCCTCCTGGCGCCCGCCCCTAAGGGACGCTACAGCTGCCTCCTGGCGCCCGCCCCTAAGGGACGCTACAGCTGCCTCCTGGTGCCCGCTCCTAAGGGACGGCACCGCTGCCTCCTGGCGCCCGCTCCTGAGGGACGCTACAGCTGCCTCCTGGCGCCCGCTCCTCAGGGACGCCACCGCTGCCTCCTGGCGCCCGCTTCTGAGGGACGCTACAGCTGCCTCCTGGCGCCCGCCCCTAAGGGACGGCACCGCTGCCTCCTGGCGCCCGCTCCTGAGGGACGCTACAGCTGCCTCCTGGCGCCCGCTTCTCAGGGACGCCACCGCTGCCTCCTGGCGCCCGCCCCTGAGGGACGCTACAGCTGCCTCCTAGCGCCCGCTCCTCAGGGACGCCATCGCTGCTTCCTGGCGCCCGCCCCTAAGGGACGCCACCGCTGCCTCCTGACGCCAGCCCCTGAGGGACGCCACCGCTGCCTCCTGGTGCCCGCTCCCCAGGGGTGCCACCGCTGCCTCCTGACGCCCGCTCCTGAGGGGCGCCACCGCTGCCTCCCGGCGCCCGCCGCTGAGGGACGCCACGGCTGCCTCCTGACGCGTCACCGCGCACGAGGTGGCCATGCTCATACCGCACTCAGAATGCGGCGCGGCGCTGCTCCGTACAGAGCGCTAATGGGGATGACATGTAGCCCCGCTGGTGACCCGGCCGGTACCCCAGGGTGCCGCACCTGCACCTGACCGGTGGTCTCACTTCTCCCGTATCACACACTAATGTGGTGAGCTCGCTCGGGCCGAAAGCCAGCTCTGCCTACGAACACGCGTATGGGCCCGTATGGGCCGCGTATGGTACATGGGCGCCCAGCACTGCTCACACGAGTCACCAGTAACAGAGCTCCAAGGTACCGCTCGGGAATGAATAACGGTGTTTTCTAACACTGGTCAAGTTCAAAACGGCTAAATTGTCCCTCGCGACCAGATGGGCTGATGAGAGCTACATGTGCTTCGCTAGTATCTGTAAGCACGATATTATTATTCCTGCTCCAGCTAGCAACCAAGACAATCAACCACCTGACTTACTCCATAGATGTGGTCAATTTACGCCCACAAACGGACACCTTCTACGACAAATACAATCAGGTGTTGTCTCTCTGTCACTGACGTTATAACCGGCTGATGAAGTGTCTGCAGCAGGAGTTCGCTGTGGACGAGCTGGCGGCGCTGCTGGATTAGGGAAAGTTGGCCACAGAATGTCAGAGAGCGACTGGAAACATGGGAGGCTGCGGCCGCGCCACAGTGCGGTGCCTGATTGTTGTCATCATCTTATAATGCACTCGTGACATGTAATATCGGGTGGAATCGAATCGAGTGGAGTCGAGCTACCAAGGTTTGAGGAAGATGTCTTCAAATTCCCTCTAATGACACACCGGCGTTGCATGCAGCTTGAGGAAAGCAATCATGACGCACAGTAGGCCACTGTTGCCTTATCACATACACATTGAAGACAAAAGCGTACCTCCGAGAAAGAAGGGCAATGACAGGTGTTTTGACGAAGGATTACGGCGCAAAACTTTTCTTAAACTTTTAACGAGGTTTCAGCGTTGTTTTCTAGCCACCAACCCTTATCTTGTTTTTTGGCTAGAAATATTCTGTAGGGGTTTACATGATTTTTGTAAGGAAGTAAAGTTGGATAAATTGTAATTGGCTGGCATAAGTTAAAAATTGTTAATGTATTTGAAAAGCAAGTTGTTAGAAACAGCGCAAGCAAATGCCGCGCTGCAGCGGTATCTGTTGAGTGACTCGCCTTGTTCTTGACAAAACTTTCGCGAATCTTTCTAGTTATTTGACCCTTTGTACTGTTTAAGCCTCAGCAAGTTCTGGCTGAGCAAAAATCAGTGAAAAATTCCAACCTAGCGACCATCTTATCATGACTACGCTCCTCCAGTTGCCGCTCCAGTATGAAACCAGTACTGAATTCTCACTGAAATTTGATTGATGAAGTTAAGTATATTTATAGGCATATCTAAACTCAGTCGCTCACAGGCCCAAGAGTTGATGTACCGTCACGCACTTCAGATCAGCTCACTCTAGCGAGACTTGGCAAGAAGAGACCAGTGTTCAGCTTGAAGAGTTGGGTGGTCTGGATCGCTTGGGAGCTTTGATAATAGTTGTCCCAATTTTCGACTTTTGTTTCCGGTCGATTGGCAAACAAAGTTTCTTTTTATCACCAGTTCCACCCGGTAATTCAGAACGCATCCTTTCGCCACTTCCACCGCACGGCCGTCTTCTGTCTCGGCAGGTCCCCTCACCGCTCCACGTCCCTCCCACCTCGTTATTTAGAGCGGCCGTCGAGGGACACGGTGTGTCCAGGGTCCCCGCCGCCCGCAGCGACAACGGATCGCCTGGAGACCGCTCTCATCGCGGCGCCAGGCCGTTGTCGGGCGGCGCTGCGCCACGCCCAAAGCCGTGTGTGATTACGCGAGGTGTCGGCAGCCTTCACGGCCCAGCCCGTCGTCTATCGATCAGACCGCGCGGGTCGGGCGCGCCGCACCGGCTGCGAAAACGGCCAGAACGGCACTCTGAAAAACGCCGCCAGCCGGCGCTCAGCTGCGGCGGGAGAAACGTGACACCGGCGCCGGGCCCGAGGAGTCCCACCGGTGATTGGGGCTCCACGAGCCGCAGCTAGCGTTGCCGGCCCACAGACGAACGCCAAACGCTTGCACTGGTGATGGGACGGCCGCCGACAGGGACTCGCATCCGAGAGTGGGGCTCCACTGGCGAAAACCAAGAATTCTGCACACTCAAAAAAACAGGGACTTCCATTACCACGGCAAGGTTTGAGCGTCTTAATCCGCTGCAGCAGAATGCATTCGACTTAGAGCTTGCAACACATGAGGTTAATTCCGACTCTGTTCTGATCAGCATTGCACGTTGAGCCGACTTCAACCTCACACTTAACACACGATCACGTTTTGTTTTGTTCTGATTCCGTTTCCGCACAGGGCACAACTATGAATGCCTGCTATATCTCTCTCTCCCTCTCACTGTCTCTCCCTATCTCGCCTCTCATTTTTCTCTCTCTCCCCTATCTCTCTCACAACATTCTTTTTCTCTCTCGCTCTCTCTCTCCTATCTCTCTCTCTCTCTCTCTCTCTCCTCTTCTCTCTCTCTCTCCTCCTCCTCCTCCTCCTCTATCTTTCTGCCCCTTTGAAAAAAAAACGATTCGTTTGATCCTAATGCGAGACCGCACACAGAGTGCAAAAGTTTGCGGTGCTTTGGGAAAAAGACGCTCGCATTCGCCACACATCACTCGCCCAGACAACGTTTCGCACAAGGTGGAGGCGTTCCCTGGCTTTCCGACCGGCTGTGCCCCCCTAACCCGAAAGGGCTTGACCATACGTAGTACACCAGCCACGCCAGCGAAGAGACACCCGCCACAAGTCTGACCTGCGGCTACCGCGAGTCTGACACGTAAGGTGTGTATTTTGGCACCGGTGATCGTGTCCTCACGTCGAAGGTGATCCCAGGGTGATCCCATGCGGCATCCGATCGGTAGCCAAGCGTTGTGAACTCTTGATGTATAGCGAGCAGTATGCTAACCATACGCATGCATGCATTCGTATGTCACGACGACAGGGAACACTAGACTGCATTGCACAGCTGCGGCGGCAATACGAACCTGGGCGACCTCGGCTGCCCAGGACGGCGCTGACGAAGTTATTCCGATAGCAGTCTAGCACAGGGCTCAGCAGCTGGTGAAGGACTGTGATACACTATGGCTAAAGGTATAGGACCACTGCAGATCCAGGCGGAGTGAGGCATCCATGCTGTTTCTGAGCCGGCGGTTTGATCCACAAATCTCAGACCTCTGCAAACGCGAAGGCAGCAGCAATGTCCCAAAAAAACAAATGCCGGGAACTTGAAGAACGTTCAAGTTGGATAGCAGATCCGAAACTGTTAGACATCGGTGGAGCAAGTTTTCTCGGAAGCCGACGACTGCCGACTACAGAGCCTGTCTGCAGCACAACGCACGATAAGTATGCAAGTTGCACACCCCTGTCAATGGTGATGGCCGCTGCCCACGCGGACCACACCCACACACCCCAGTACCGTGCCGTTTGGTTGTACATAGCTCCCGCCGCTGCGATGTTACACCGCGGCGCCTATCTCGGACACCGGCAGCAGGCACGTGATGCTCACTGGCCACCAACGTCGAAGAAAGGTTCCCCTGCCCGGTGCACCTCGTGTCCATGCCGCGCTGTTCATAATGTCCTGCCGCCGCGCTCGGATATCCAGCCATGCGATATTCAAACTGATGTAACAAGACTGCATCTCATGCCGGACTGGCAACTGGCCCCAACAGACGATATTAGCACCATTGTTGGCGGACCAATAATGGCTGAACGCGGGCATAGTAAACAGAGGTCAGAGGTCCCTCCCCTTTCCCATTA